ACTCACAGGGAAAACAGAGACACTAGAGACTTGCAGATGAGGGAGTATGCACACAGCTGTGACTCTCGAGATCTGGTGCCCAAGACTGTTCGAGATTATCCGCGCACTCCTCCTACTGAGTGGAAATCCTATGTCCAGCGCCGCCTGCAGTATGGTACCTCTGTGGACATGGACCAGGAATGTCTGTCTGAAGTCCAGCAGCGGCAGCGGCAGCAGATAGAGGAAGATGAAGTGGACGAGGCCTACTGGTCTTCTGTGAGCATGCTGTATGAGAAGATCCCTAGTTGTGCACGACCTAGGCCGGTGAGAGTACAAGACCTCTGGCACCCCTGGGCTCCCTTCTTCTAGTCCCTCAACTCCCTCCCACTTACTTCCTAGGAAAGCCTGTTCCACCTCAGACCTCTTTCTCTTCCCAGCTGCCTCCCCCCCTCCCTTCTGTATTTGTTGACTCTCTTTTTCCTTGCAGCCCAAACCCAAGCACGCCATCACAATTGCTGTCTCTTCCCGGGCACTCTTCAATATGGTGGATGACAGGAAAATCTATGAAGAAGAGGGTCTGGAAAAGTACATGGAGTATCAGCTCACCAACGAGAATGTCATCCTGACCCCAGGGCCAGCATTTCGGTTTGTCAAGGTACCGTGTGGGCTGTCTTGCTTTCCCATCAGGGACTCTGGGTGGCAAGAGAAGGACTCGGGAAGATCTTTGGGAGTTTTTGTTCAGTCTCCCTGACAATCCTTAAACCACCTTTATAATCCCTGCCCCATTCCAGTTGATCAAGTCCCAAAGACTTCTAGAATTGTTGAGAAAGGGTGATTTTCAACCTGAATCCATGGTTTCATATCTGGGATTTCTTAAATGGACCTTTAACAAAAACGTGTTTCCTTCATACACAGAGAGGTAGGAAGGACTAGGGCTGTGGAAATAAAATGCTGTCTTCAAATGATGGAATTCACTTTAGCTGATCTGACCCCCTACAAATATATCGAGAAAATCGAAATGTTCCTGACACTTGGGATTATGATGTGTGCTTCTAACTAGTCACCTATGTTAGTTGTAAGATTATTACACAACCAGTCGCAAAACCATGGGAAAGCACATGGTGCCTCTATGGTTTGGGGTAAAAGGTTCTCGAAGGACACGTAGAAGCATGGTGATAAACCACAAAAGCCTATGAAAAACATAGGTTTTAGGCCTGGCAAGAAGGGAGTGGTATCAGAAATCAGCAGCATTCTTGAAGACGACCTGACCTTGGTTCTCAATCTCTGTACAGGGAGAGTTACAACCATCTATAACCACAGCTCCAGAGAACTGGACACATTGTAGACATCTGCATTCTCACATGTGCACACACACACACACACACAGACACACACATGCACAACTAAAAACAAAAAATTAAAATAAATAAATCACAGCCTATTATCTCTCTTCCATAGTACATTCAGCAACAAAATCATTGTGATTATCCATCTGCTCCAATCTGCTTTCTTCATTTGAGAGACATGTAAATTTCCAAACCACTCCAAATTTCTCACAATAAAATCAGAACCTAGAAACTAAGACAAATAGACAAACCAGAAGGCAAATCATAAAAGGGATAGATACCCTGATCTTTTTCTCTACCCACCCTTGAGATAATCCTAGTAAACAGACCACTATAATAGCATCCCATGAATGTTACCCATCTGTGCCATGGGCATTAACTGAAGGCTATGTTTGGGAACCATAAAACACAGGAACGGTGACATACTCATGTCTTAAAGGAGCACAGATTTCTCAGCCAGCATTCTGTGGACCTTGATTCTGACCCTGCCAGGGTGTTTTTCCTCCTGCTGCCTAACACCCACCTTGAGTGCCCTTTTCTATACAACCATGTTTGTAACCTGCAGGCACTGCAGCACGTCAACTCTAGACTCCGTGAGCTGTATCCTGAAGAACAAGACTTATTTGATATAGTACTGATGACTAATAACCATGCCCAAGTGGGAGTACGGCTTATAAACAGCGTCAATCACTACGGTAAGTAAAATAAATACCATGTGGAAGACCAGCTCACAGCTCTGCAAAAAAGAGGCCATGCTATTTTGCTAACTGTGGCTTAAACCACGGCAGTGTCTTTGATACCGGCAACCCCTTCTGCGTGGGGAATGTTTATTTGCCTATGTCAGAACAAGAAAGGCCATGCTCATTTTTAACTTCAGCGCAGAGTTGGACTCAAAGCTCTGGACTTAACTTGTCAAGTGTGAATTTCAAAGTCTTAATCCCAGGTCCTCAATATATTTCTCTGCTTTATGTTTTTCACTTCTGAACTTGACTTCAAGGAGCCGTCAGCCCAGAGGCTTTTTCTATGGGATCAAACTTTTTCCTCACCACAGATCCATGTTAAGGGTTTAAAGGTTTTCACCTCCCCTTCCAACTCTTAAAACCGGGTGCTCCTGGCTGCCCTTTCTCTCCCACACACAAATCCATATTCTTCAGCAAAATTTTCTTTAGTACTATACATGGAAATTTTCATTGGTGCTAGTCTATCACCTTTCTATCAATGTGTCACTTTCTTATAAAGTTTCCCCTGGTGTTTTTTTCTATTATGAAATTACCTAACATTCCCTTTGGGACGTCATTGTCTTATTTTCATTGGTGCTAGTCTATCACCTTTCTATCAATGTGTCACTTTCTTATAAAGTTTCCCCTGGTGTTTTTTTCTATTATGAAATTACCTAACATTCCCTCTGGGACGTCATTGTCTTATTTTCTAGTATTGGATCTAGTTGTGGGTATGTCACTTAAAAATCGGGTTGAATTTGTGCACATAGAGATCAAAGGGTTAAATTAGACATTAACCAAGGTGTATTGCAAGTTATTGAGTTCTATTTTATCATTTCATATGATCCTAATTATAAAATTGGCTTTTGAAATGTATTTTATTAATGCAACCTTCATATGTTATGAATTGAAAAGAAAAAGTGTGTGCCAAAGGCGCTGAGGGGCATATAATATTCATTCAGTAAATGAAGAATATTTCAATGCTTTTTGTTTGTTTTCACAGAGGCACTTGTATAACCCAGGATAGCTCTACATCATCTTTTCTCAGTTTCCCAGAACTGGGATTATAGGTGTGCAGCATTATAACGAGTCTTATTTATTAAGAAAGTGATACTGGCCTATCTTTCCTTCAGCATGTTAAAAACACTGAGATTTCCAGGTTCTTATATCTGAATTCTGTTGATAAACTAGTTATTACATTTTTCCATCTTGCCTTTTCCATGGAATTACAGCCTTTACCTTGGAAGAGCTATTTCTTACTTTAGTGTATGGAAGATAACCTGTGTCTACATCTGCTGTGATCTTTGTTACAATTTACATGGCAGGTTCCACAAACCTGGGATCCATTTAAGGAAAACAAAGCCAATGTTTTCATTCAGTTTTGAAGTCCTAGTTCCAGCACATAATTTCCAGAACATTATGTTGATGTCATTTACAGGTTTATAAGATCCACTTTTGACTCATTTATGCCCAACATTGGATCGAATGAAAATTTGAGATTTTTTGTTAATGCCAAAACAGATACTTCTACCCACTTCACTGACCTATGTCCTTAGTCCTTCAAACAGCTGACTAGAACCCAGGTTTTGATTTACCTAGATAGCATAGTTACCCAGTTTATCATATTTTTTCTTTTTTCCTCTTTTTTTAAATTTAATTTAAATTAGAAATAAGTTTGCTCCACATATCAATCCCACTTCCCTCTCCCTCCCCTCTCCTGCTCCCCTTCAACCCTCCCCCAATCCCCACTCCACTCTCCAAGGAGGGTGAGGCCCTTCATGGGGGAATCTCAAAAGTCTGTCATATGATCCCGGGCAGGGCCTGGGCCCTCCCCCATGTTTCCAGGTGGAGACAGCATCCCTCCACATGGAATGGACTCCCATAGTCCATCTGGATGACAGGGATAAATGGGGATCTATTGCCCAAGGCCCCAAAGAATGCTGAGGACTCCTCAATGACACCCATGTTCAGGAGGTTTGGATCAGTCCCATGCTGGCCTCTTAGCTATCAGTCTGGGATCCATGAGCTCCCCGTTGTTCAGGTCAGCTGTTTCTGTGGGTTTCTCCAGCCTGGTCTTGACCCCTTTGTTCATCACTCCTCCCTCTCTGCAACTGAGTTCCAGAAATTCAGTTCAGTGTTTAGCTGTGGGTGCCTGCTTCTGCTTCCATCAGCCACTGGATGAAGGCTCTAGGATGGCACACAAAGAAGTCATCAATCACATTATCAGGGAAGGGCATTTAAGGTAGCCTCTCCACTATTGGTTAGATTGCCAGTTGATGTCATCCTTGTAGGTCTCTGGACATCGTACTAGTGCCAGATCTCTCTCCAAACCTATAATGGTTCCTTCAATTATAGTATCTCTGATCCTTCTCTCTTCTATTCTTCCCCCTACTCAACTTTCCTGCTCTGCCATGTCCTCCTCCCTCCTCCTCTTCACCCTCTCTCTTTCTCCTAGCTTCCTCACCCCTTCCCACCCCCTTGATCAAGTTCCCTCAGAAGATTCTGTCCTGTTCCCCTTCTCTGGGTTACCATGCATATCACTGTTAGGGTCCTCCCTGTTTCCCACATTCTCTGACAGTGGGGTTGTAGGCTGGCTCTTCCCTGTTCCATACCTAAAATCCATACATGAGTGAGTGCATACCATGCTTGTCCTTTTGTGTTGGATTACCTCACTCAGTATGGTTTCTTCTAGTGCCATCCATTTGCCAGCAAATTTCCAAGATTCCATTGTTTTTCTCCTCTGAGTAGTATTCCATTGAGTAAATGTACCACATTTTCTCTCTCCACTCTTCAGTTGATGGGCATCTAGGTTGTTTCCAGGTTCTGGCTATTACAAATAATGCGGCCATGTTGGAGCAGCAAGGTGGCACAGTGATGCCTTCCTGGGTCCCCACAGAGGTGCCGGTGCCAAGTGCTGGTTTGTGGATACCGAGGCATATCTGCAGTACCTAATCCCATGAGCGTGGTAGTGCACCATGTGGGGGAGAAAGCTGTACACTCCTGGTCATGCATCTCCACAGCAGGGAAGAAAGCCCTGGAAGAGGCACTGCTTGCGTTTAATCCTATGAGCCAGGATCTCAGTGCCACAAAGGCCCAGCTTGTGGCCTGCCTACAAGGCCTGCGAGATGATGGCTTCCAGCCAACCATTCTGCGAAGTGGTGATGTCTATGGCTATAGTTCATGCACAGCCACCCCCACCCCTGCCCAGACAAAGCTTCAAGCTTGTACCACCAACCCATCTGCCACATCACTTCCATCCAGGGCTCCCCAAACTGCTGTGTCGCTACCTGTAAGCCAGGCCACACTGCTCCCGGTGCCACTGTCTGGCAGGCTGACTAAGGGATCCACACCAGCCCTTGCCAAGCATGCTCCCACTAACCTGCTGCTGAGCTCCCTGAAGCAATCAAATGGCAGCCACACCAGTGGTACAACAGTAGGCTTCTCTTCCCACCTCTACCCAGGTGTCTACCCTGCCATGCATCTCTCTGTGGTCCTTGAAGCACTGGTCCCACTCAAGACTCCTTGTTTGGGTTCTAAGCACAGGGCACAGTCACTGCAGCTGTCACTTGCAAACTCTTCCCTGAAACTGAGAGAAAGTTTGGGGAATCAACAGTCCAAAGCATCCAGGAAAATCACAAGCAAAGGCCTCAAATGTGTTAGCAGGAAAGGCTCTGGGGCTGACAGACGAGGCGCTGGGCCCTGGAGCAGTGGTCTACCCGAGAAAGGATGCTCTGCCTTGGGCACCAAAACAGCCCAGGCCAAGGCATTTCGAACAATGACCGAAGCTGCTCATACCCACGCCAGTCTAGCTCGAGCCCAGAACAAGACGGTAAGGGTCAGGGCCAAGACGACAAAGGCCAAGCCCAGGGCAGCGGGAGCCAAGGCCAAGGCCAATGTATTAAGGGACAAGGCTAAAGCTAAGGTGGTCAAGGCCAAGACCAAAGCAGCTGTAGTTCCAGATCACGTAATCACCTTTTCTAATTCCAATATTCCCTCAGACTGCTTTTGTTTTTTGTTTTTTTTTGTTTTTGTCTCTATTTCAGCTTTCAAACCTTGCACTGTTTGAATTGTTTCTTGTAATTTTTGGTTTGTCTTTTCTTCCATTTCTTTAAAAGATTTTTCTCATTTCTTCTTTTAGGGTCTCTATCATCTTCATGAAGTTGTTTTTAAGGTCACTCTCTTCTGTTTCATCTGTGTTGTGATGTTCAGATCTTGATGCTGTAGAGTCCCTAGACTCTGGTGGCATAATATTTCTTTTTCTGTTGCTGGATTTGTTCTTGTATTGTCATCTTCCCATCTCTTCTTTCAGTGGGTACAGGAGGGGTCTCTTCCTTTCCTGGTGAGTATAGGTCCAAGGTTCTCTTCTAGTGGGTACAAGCAGGTCCAATTCACTGATAGGTCTCACAGTGGGTGCAGATGGGTCTCAGGCACTCCCACTCCCCATGGGTCGGAACTCTTCCCTCTGCCCTCTGCCCTCTGCCCTCTGCCCTGAGTGGGGGCAGGAATAGGCAAGCTCTCTCAGCAGGCTTCTAGATGCTCAGTCCTGGGGGTGGGGGGAAGCTGAGCTTGCTGCAGTCTCCATTCCAGGTGATCCCTGAGAGAGCAGGCAGAAGGAAGTGGGGACCAGGAAGGGGGCCTGGAGCTCACCTCTGCCCTCTGCCCTATGCTCTCTGACCTCTGCCCTCTGTCCTCTGCCCTCTATCCTTTGCCCTGAATGTGGGCAGGAATAGGCAGGGTCTCTCAGCAGGCTTCTGGTCGCTAGGTCCTAATAAATTTAAAGCCAATTTTGAATAAGCACATAGAATTTTATCATATGCATGGTAGTGTCTCATATTGATGAATTCATTTTCTTTCAAATAAAGTCCTAAATTCAGACATTTCTACATAAATCTTTAACAAAATGTTGTGTTATTTCTTTAAAATGATAACCTCAAAAAAGGAATCTCTTTCCAGACAATTTATATCAATCCATCCTTTCATTCATTACATACATGGGTTCTGGATTTACAAAAATCTTCTGAACAGTCCATTTTATCTTTAATTGTTGGAAGGTATTTAAAAGTATGTTAATTAGAGTTTGAGGGCATAGGCTTATAATGCCAAATTTTTGAAAAAGACTAAAGGACTACCTTTGTTTCAAGACCTACCTGAGCTACACAGCAACATAGCAAGTTGAAAACCAATATGGCCAACCTAGCTATATCCTACTTGATAATTTTAATAAATTAATTGGATGTGGTAGTTCACTGGTAGAGTGTTTGCCTAACATATATGATGTTCCAGGCATAAGCCACATTACTGAAAAAAGGAAGGAAAATCCAGAGAATATTGTTAAGTCTGCTAATAACTATAGTCAAATATTTTAGTCAAGAAAGAGGAAAAATTTTAAATAATCATTAGAAACTAGTTTAAATCACAGAGTGATTTATTATTAGTATTGCATTAAAGAAATGTAGAAATGGTATTTAAAATAGGGTTATACCTTTAAAATCCCCTTTTAATAAGCAAGGAAGAAGCTGTAGCTTAAGGAAAGAGAGAATTATCCTAGTGCAGATATGAATTACACATGTAGGCTGAAGTCTGCCCTAAGTGGGTGAACCAGTAGATTGTACAAATCTGTTCAGCAGCCTGTCCTATAAGGAAAATAATGCCTGCCATGCAGTCTTGAATGAATTGACATGCCCTATGTGAGTATGTTTCATAACTACAGTGTACCAATCATAGAGTATGAAGTATCTGAGAGATTTTCTAATTTTCAATAATTTTTATGATAATATTCAATTAGACTTGCAAATGAACTCACACCAATTTACTAATACAACTTTTTATCCCTATAATAAACATCGTTGGGATCAATGTTGTACCTTTAGTCTGAACCATAACACAGTCTTTCTTACCTGACAATAGGTCTGCTAATTGACCGATTCTGTTTGACGGGTGGAAAAAGTCCCATTGGCTATTTGAAGGCATATCTTACCAACTTGTATCTGTCTGCAGATTCAGAAAAAGTACAAGAAGCAATTAAAGAAGGTAATGACCTCGGTTTATTCTTCCAACTCATAAGGTTCTCACTGATGCTTAGTTGCCTTGGGTTTCACACAGCTTCAGGTGGCTTACTACCTTGGGTTTTTTGCTAATGCTTTTACACATGTGGCACCCCTTATGGTTTGTTCCCTAGAGAACTGACCTTCCTGGAAGGGGGAACATTTTCAGTGGTTATTCCACAACTCGATTTTGCCTCCCATCCCTGTATAAACAGAATCAGTGCATAGATATCTGTTTTGAGAATTGTAATTGTGGACCGGAACAGAATTATGTGGCAATAATTACAGAAGAATTATCACTGTGGGGTTACAAGTTTATTGGCAGAAACTAAAACCCATAGGCTTATGAAGAATACTAATCTCTCTGTATGATGTCAGGCATTGCCTCTGCAACCATGTTTGCTGGAGCCAAAGACATGGCTTATTGCGACACACAGCTTCGTGTGGCCTTTGATGGGGATGCAGTCCTCTTCTCTGATGAGTCTGAACATATTGCCAAGGATCACGGACTGGACAAATTCTTCCAACATGAAACACTATTTGAGAATAAGCCTCTTGCTCAGGTAAGTTTACCAAGTTCAGTTTTCATCTGTTTATCTTCCAACACGTGTATATAGATATTGATCCTTGTGATGTAATTTTAATTAATTATAGGTGGCTCCCTCCAGCCTCTTTGAACTCTTCTCCCTTTTCATTGTAAATTCCTTACTTTGGAACATCTACTGCTTGCAATACTGGCTTCCAAATTGAACATCTTTTATTTATCCTTTGGAAACACTTCTGTAATCTGTTACTGACGAGTTAACCCTCTTAAAGTTCTTAGTAACACATAACACAGCTCACCAAGAAGCCATTCCAAAATCTTCAGTCTTCAAAACAGTAAGGTCATCTCCAATATACTGCTCAGGGCTGTCAGGCTGTGACCCCCAAATTCAAGAAAGATGCTGTTTAACTTAGAAGAGCTTCAAGATGGAGAGCTTGTATCCAAATAAATAAATAGCCTCCAACATCCCTTACAAGCCCAAAACAAGTATTTGGGGGTTTTGTTTTTGGTTTGGAGTTTTCAAGATTTGTAAGACATCTGAACAGAAGGAAATTGGAAGCATGAAAATGGTACCCAAACTGAATCTGAACTGATGGATGACCCAGTTTTAATGCTGAATCTGCACCATTTAATGTTCAGTAATAGCCATGAGCATCGGCCTCTGTCCTCCAGAGGACTTTCAATCTTCCAGTCTTAAGTAATGTGTCTACATGGTCTTTGCAGGTATCCTTTGTCAAGTTGAGACTGCTACTACTCACTATGTACTTTTGAGGGTTTGTATAACGGATGTTGGATTTTGTTTAATGCCCTTGTATTATTCACTGAGAAAATCAAATGGCTTTTGAAGTCATTGACATATAAATCCACTCAAGGATTTTAATTTGCTGAGGCAGTTCTGCACTGCTGGTACACTCGAAATGGTCATATAGTGTGATCTTTTTTATATATATTCCTGGATTCAGTCTTTAGAGTTGCAATGTTGTCTGACTTCAGACCAAGTAGTCTATAGTTTACTTATGATGGCTCATTTGCGTATTAATGATGATTTTATAAAATGCATGAAAACTAAGCAAATGTTTGGTGAGCCTTTCTAGACAATCTAGCTAGGTCTGAACAACTTGTTTTAAAGACTTTTTAATATGCATTAAAATGTGGGGGTGGTAGTGTGATGATAAAGTTGAGACACATTTGCATATCATATGCATATGGAGTTCAGAGGTCAATTTTGTAGAGTCAGTTCTCATTCTTTCTTTGTGTGAGTTCCAGGAATCTAACTCTGATCATCTGGCTTACGAAGGAAACACTTTTTCTCCTGAGTGGTCTTGCCAGACCTTGGAAGGCTTTTAACCTACTTATTCATTTAATTTTTGTTCTTCAATTCATTCCTTTCTTTAGTTTAATAGTTTGTGTTTCTCAAGAATCATCTGTTTCATTTGTCATTTTTATAACCATAAACTTGTAAATGTTTTACTATGTTTTTAATGTTTGTAGACAAGTTAGGGAATGTGTCTGCATTTTCATGTCTGATAGTGATTGTCGTCATTTTATTTTATTGGTTTCTTTTGTCAGTATGAGCAATAATTTATCAATTTTATTTCTTTTCTATGAGATATCTTTCTTAACATTTTTAATGTGGTGTCACTGACTGCAATCTTTTTAGTTGTTTTTTTTTTCTAAAATAGACGTTTTGAATCTTGTCTTCTTTGTAGGCTATGGTTTTATCTCCCTGACTTTTTTAAGTGGTATCATTTTATTTCAATTCAAAATATATTTGAATTTCTTTATGACTTCTCGACCATTGTTAACAGTTAAAGTAAAGTAAATTAACTGCCAAATATTTGGTGAGGTTATTCCCCCACCCCATCCTGGTGCTCTCTGTTACTATGTGTAAGTCTTACTCCATTGTGACAAAAAAAAGATTTTGTATTTTACTTTGTGTTATATTTTGCACTGTGAATGCTATAACCTACCAAGTGTGTCCTTTGTACTTTGAGAATAATACATTGCTGCAGTTGGAATGAATATTCTACCAATGTTAATTAGATTAAGCATTTTAATTAAAGTCATGCTTTTATCCTGAAGGTGTGTGTATGTGTGTCTGTGTGTGTGTGGTGTGTGTCAGTGCGCACACACACAGAAGAGATGGATGTCAGTTGCCTTCCCCATCACTCTCCTTTTTGTGTTTTGAATTCACAACAGCACTAGTTAGACAGCATCTCTGGGCATCCTCCTGATTCTGCCTTCCTAGATCTGGGATAACAAACAGTCCTACACTGCCACACCTGGCTTTCTATGTGGGTGCTAGAGATACACACTTGGGTCCTCTTGCTGGCAAGCATTTTACTACCTGCCACATCACTCTAGTGCCTGGTCATGTTTTTAGATGGACAATTCTTTTTGTTTGCTTGCTGTATTCGCAAGAATACAGTATTGAAGTTTCCTAGTAAAACGTGGGATTTATTGATTGATTGAGACAGATCTAACTATGTTACCAAGGCTTTCCTTGAGCTCACTGCCCTCCTGTCTCAGTTTCTCCAGTGCTGGAATTGAAGTTGTACTCCATCACAACTGGCAGTTTTAGTCAGTTCTGTATAATGTATTTTAAATTCAACATATTTAGGATTATTGTATATATTTTTCATTATATTCACCAACTCATCTTTCTCGTGCAATGCCCAAGTTGGGTATTCATATATTTCTGAACTTTAGAATAATGCTGTATGTAATGTATATTTTTGGTACTTTTACATTCAACCAATCCATAACTTTAAATTTATCTCGATTTTATATTTGACATTATATATATATATATACATACAGTTGGAGTTACTTTTTATACAATTGAAAACCACTGTTTTTAATTATTATTTTAATTTCTTTGTGTCCTCCACTCTGTGTGGTGGGTTGTTTACAATTAGGTTACTTAATTACCAATATTTGAAGAGGTTTTTCAACACATATGTTACCATGTACAAGTTTGCTGGTCACATATTTTGTATTGTACTTTGTTTGTTGTGGTGTTTTCTGCTGAGAAGGCTGACACTTGAATGCATCCTGTATACTTGAAATCATTTAAGTATATGGAATCAATAATAATAACAATATCTTACATTATAGCCTTCCTACAGTCTTCTATGTGTCCCATCTCTTAATTTATCTCTAGTTTAGTCATTTGCTTCAGATTAATCTTTACACATACTACTAATAACTAACTGAAGGCTTTCCCGTGCTTATGATAGGTCTTGTAATACACAACTTCAAGTAACCCTGACATATGGTAAAACAATCCTATTTACCTTGTCTGTAATATATGAGCCGTGCCACAGATCACTCCCAAACTCCCCCAACCTTGTTCTGTGTTGTTTTGACATATCCTGACTTTATTTTCTATGCTATTAATTCACAATAACTTGATGCTCTTTTTCTCTTTGGCAATGACTCAAAGTGAATAAGCACCAAGAAAAAAATGGTCTTTTATATTTGGGTTCCTTTTAAAAATTGTAGGTCCTCTTTTAGCATTCAGTAGGACATACATGCTGGCAATCATTACCATTTGCTATTCCTGGAAATTCTGTTTCTTCCTAAATTCATAATTACATTATAGCCAAGCTTGGTAGCATGCATCCTTAATACCATCAATCGGGAGGCAGAGACAAGCAGATCTCTGTGAGTTCTACAGGCAGACTGGTCTACATAGTGAGTTGCAAGACAGCAAAGGCTACAGAAAGAGATACTGTCTCAACAAAAGAAAATGAAAGTATATTTTATTTTCAGTAGTAATAGAACTGTTTTCTTTAGTAACTTTAGGATGCTCATCCATGGTTTCCTTACACACTGGCATGCAAAGGTTCTGACCTCAAATATTTTGAACTGTTTATCTACTATGATCCTCTGTATATGCCATGTCTTTTATCACTAATTCATCAAGGTTTTCTATATGTCCTGTTTTTGGAGCAGTTGCATGTGCTCTCCCACCCACTCCCACCATGTATGTGGGGGAGAAAGTGCACGCAAAGTGCTTACATGTGTGTATGCATGTACATGCATGTCTGTGTGCCATATGCTGCCATCTCTCTTTCTATGTCTCTGTGTAATCACTTACATGACCTGTTTGCCTCTGCATGCATTTGTGCCTCTCTTCTTCTTCCTCCCAGCCCCCTATGTATGTTTGTGTGGCCCCTAGCATCTCAATGTGTTCGTTTTGCCTTT